CCAACCCAGGCCATTCTATGATTCTCTGTGGTGGATTCTGGATATGATAAAAGCACATCACAATACTATACACAATATTGTATATTTTAAAGTTCATATATAAAGTGATACTCCTTTTTCTTTAGTTGGGTTTTTTTGTTGTTGTTGTTTTGGCTTTCTAACCTGAATTAGACACTAGGGAATATCTTTTTTATTTTTTTCCCTGGAAGCACTGGACTGAGGAATGCTACTATTATATAAATAATGTCTACGTGACTTGGTATTGTATGCACTAACTATTCACTTGTCATTATTCTCCCACCTTGAATTTCTTGTGGAAAAAATAATCTTATTTGGAATTAGTAACAGGAACAATTTCCAGACTGAGGGCTGTCTTGTGCTAGAAGCTTGATAAACTTAGAGATTATTTAACTTGTGTTGTCTGAGACTTCGGGGATCTAGTTTAAGCTAAGCATGCGATAATTAAAATAGTTTCTTAGTGATGGAGAATTTACTGCATCTTTTGACAATTCATCTCAGTAGCTAATTATACTTAAAACATGCTTTTTATCTCCAGATTGAACTTGCAAATATTGGATTCTGTTGTGTGTCTGCCCACTAATTTAGAGTCTTATGAAATATCTTCTTCTTGTCTAGTCCCTTAAAGATTATAATCTTCTCTTTGAAGCAAAATACATTTAGTTCAATGTCTCACTGCAAGGAGTCTTTTTTTCCAGACCTAAATCATTCTTGTTGCTCTTCTCGGCACTCTTTCCAAGCTTATTTATTTTTATTTATTTATTTTAATTAAAGGCACTGTAGTTTCCCAGAGGCTCGCCTGCTTTGTTCACAGAGATGTTATGGTTTGCTTGGCTTCATTCATGTGCATGTCTGCAGCTGTCCCCAGCCAGGCAAATGGTGCAGATCCTCACGCCTGCCCTCGTGGAGGGAGGTCTGACACCCTTGAACTGATGGAAAGAGCAGGCAGGTGTCATCCAGAACCCAACCTAAGGGTTTTGTTGTTTAACACCATTCAGAAGCTGCGCCCAGAAATAAAGCAGGATCTCTTCCAAATGATCGTGCCTATTCTTAGCAACAGCTAAATCTTATGATCATCATGGTAGGCCCGTGTGACGGGAGAGCCGTGTTCCAGGGCAGAGGTGATGAGGAATGCATAATGCATGCTTTGTCATGGGGGGGGCACCTCAAGGAGAAGAAGGCACAGCTTTCTGGATCTACAAAGGAAAATAATAAGGTGTAACACTCTTGCAGGTGTGCCAGCTGCTTTGCAGTCATAGAAGGGCAACAGCACTCGTACCCAAAATGGGAGCAACACAAGTAATTCTGTCGTTTTCTGCCAGCCCGCTCTCTGCAAGGAATGCAAATCAGACTCTAGGATTAGATGAACACTGATGCTGTCAAAGCAGTGCCCTGAAGGTGGGGGGTAAAAAAATAGATCCAAATAAGAAACGTCATGGGCTTCTCACAGGGAACCGCAGGAGCTGACCATCCTCACCCCATTGCTTCCGAGTCCTGCCAGCCCGGCTTCATGCAAGGGAGTGCTTTGAAATTGCTTTCCTTGATTTATTCTTTACCCACCTGACTTGCTAGACTAGTTGAAAATTTCCTTTTTTGTATCATTCTGTTAATGAAAATGAAGGAAAACTGGGTCAGGTGTGTGGGGGTGTGTCTTCATATAGAAGGAAAAAGAAAAAAAAAAAGAAGAGAAAAAAGCTCACCAGAGAGGCTTGGAAGGAAATTTATGTTGAAAAGAGGGTAGTGATGGAAAAAAAGTGTGACTGTGATCCCTCTGTCTGTGGCTAATTTTTTTCATCAAACAGGCGGTAACAAATATTTGTGGTATCTGAAGACATGGAAAATATACTTCTAACTATCTGTTTTATTCTAGTTGCAGATGAAGAATTGTTCAGAAAATCTTTATTTTCTCAATCTTCTTTTGCCACTCTAACAACACAGACACAATAGGGCATTTTCAGGATCTTCCAGTAATTTTCTATCACTCAGTTTTGTTACAGTAAATGCATACATGCATCTTAAGCTTTTACTTTTGGTACAGAAATGGTTAAAGCACTGTGTGGCCTCTTATGGGGTTTTCATTTGGTCCTTGTTTAGGTAGGTTTCTGTTCTTGATCAAAGCTTTTATTAATGAAGGAAAGGACACAAATATCTTTATGGATTTGCTGGGCTGTACATGTTAGCATATGTTATGATGAAACACACAGAAGCCAAGCACTGACAATGCTCCAAAGTAAAATCAGAAGCAAAAAGCTGTACAACTATAAAACTAATGACACTTCCATAAAGTATGGCATTTTAGTATGGATGGGCTGACACTTTCTTACTATCTCATTTTTTATCTGATTTATTCAGTAAGGTTGAATGTCACTGCAGGCTGAAATACTGTAGGTATCATCTCAAGAAGTGGTCTCCGCAAAGACAGGCCTCAAACATTGCCTAATTTCTGTATTTAGCTCTGGTTATTACAATTAAGTCACTCAGAAGAGAGCACACAGCAAATATCCACAGTATTCAGAAGGTACATAAAGCCTACGTTGATTTTGGTTTCGGTACTTTCTAATAGTTAACGTAATCCTATCAAGTTGGGGGGTGGGTTTTATTTTTTGGGGGGATAGGAGCGTGGGAAAAAAACCCACACACCATGTTTAAAGCCACATTAACAAAGAACTTTACTCAAGGAGGAGATGTTAATAAGTAATGAAACAAAGGCTCTTTTATAGAGATTAAACATACATGTGTCTAAGTACAAAGTTCGTGTTGCAAAGTGCAGCTGTTTCTCTGCTCACAGCCCCAAAGCCCTGGGTTCAAAGTCTGCCTGCTTTCCTGTCATAGAGCTGACCGGGGCAAGGTCCGGCCCAAGTTCAGAGTTCAGTGTCTGAGGGCCCGCTGGCTTTGCCGGACGCGCTCCCTGACACGGTCGGGACAAGCAGGATCTGGCTTAAGATTATAAGTACAGACAACAAAAACTTCCCGTCCTCTTTTCTGATGTGTCAGATTTCATTAAAGAAGGGACGTTCTGGATGGAGCCACTGGACTGTTTAAAAGTAATGTGCTGTGTAACAGAGCGACCTCACCAAACCCCACAGAAGGAGCAGGCCAGTGAAAGGATGCACGTGGGAAGTAGCGCCCGTTCGCCTTCTCCTTCCTCCTGAGATTTACTTAAATGAGGCAAAATGAAGTAAAAGATCTAATTATCTATATCCAAAGAGATGAACCCGAACTCTTTAAAAAAGAAACAGAAAAGAAAAAAGCCAGTCCACGTGTTTCCTTTGTGTCACGATAACGGTGTTCCACACCATGGGGGTGAAGAGAACTTAATATGTCTGGATATCCTGCTTTCAAATCCTCTTTTTTCTTCTCCTTCAGAGGCTTTTTCGAAGCTAACCCCAACTTTCTTATTCATAAGGGCTGCAAACCCCACCTGTGCAGCTTTTTTGATTAGCTGTGGTCATATCAAAGGCTGCTGTATCCAAGCACAGACCCTGAGTGAGAATGGAGGCTGATGGCTGAGAGCAAAGGCTGGTACAAACACCCTTGGAGGAATTTATATCTCAGGCAATGCTGTAGCAGTATTACAGACAGTGAAAAGTTTCCTATCGGTTGCCACATCCTTTATCAAGGAAAGGATGGTAAACCATGGGTGGTAAACCAAGTCATCAGTGCTCAGTGCCCACAGCATGCTGCAGGTCTGAGCAGACTGCCGTCATCTCACTTCATTGAAAAGAACATGGATGTTCTGAAAACTTTCTCAGACATCAGAGGTCTGCCCCCTTTGTATCACAGTTTCTATATGTCTGCGTTCAATAAATGTAATTATTGAGGGCCACAATTAAAATCAGGACTCAAGGAAGGACTGTAGTAGCCCAAAGCATGAGGTTTGGACTTAAAGATTTGTGTGTTTAGAAATTATGATTTTTTTCTTCTCTGCAAACATTCATGAGTCTGTCAAACACCAGAGGAGCTTTCCTCTGATGAGTTAGTCCTGTGCTTTGGCTATTATTTCAGGTCTAACCTCCCACTTCTGAGCAATGTATTTAAGAAACTGAGAGAGACCCTACAGTGAACACTCCAGACCACAGCTCGTAAGGGCTCAGATGGGTGCATGAACTACTTAGTCCTCAAAAAGGGGGGAAAAAAGGGCAGCCAAGGTCCAAAGATCCAAAATAATGTGCTATAATGTCTGAGACCTTCCTGACAGAATGCTGAGAAGTAGAAATAACAGGAACTGCACCTGTGATGTTCCATTCCTGTCCTGGACTGCGGAAACTCCAGCATTGGGCTTTTTTTCTGTTACTCTTTGCTGGCTCTGTGCAACCACTGCAGTGAACAGATAAGTCACTGAGACTAGTATTAAGTAGTGACACTGGCAGAGCATACCCATAATCAGTTCATTTGGTCTGCACTGATGCAAATCTCTGACATAGCAGTGATGGTGAGTAACATTTTCTGTTGCTCCCACTGCTGAAGTTCTGCCCGAGTCTCTGGCCTCTCTTTGCTAGGCTGATTATACCTGGCCTTGGAATCTTTGTTTCCTAAGAAACTCTGACTAGAGCCACTACCCTCCCCAGCACTTCAGGCTGCTGCAAACATACAAAAGGTGGGGAGAAGATGATAAATTAACAGGTGTAAAATGTGTACATTGCTTACAGCACTGACAAAAGTCCTTCAGGTGGTACAGCTCTACTGGGTGGTAACTACAGATTTGATCCTTGGGTTGCCTCATTCAAAAAGATGAGCCCTGTCAGGCTATTACCTAGTGTGTGCAGTGGGTTTCTTTCCTTCTTTCCTCTTGGCATTGACACATATTAATAATAATATGTTTGCAGGGGGAGGTATAATGGCAGGAAGGGGGAGACTCCCTATAAACCCATGGTTAGTAAGGTTGCATGGGCTAGGGCAGCAGGCTGAAGTTCAGGTACATAGTCCAAATGAAGCAAAACAGGACCAGGTTTGCAAGGTAGCAACTCTTCTGGTTGCTGGCTTTGCTAAACTAGATAGGTGACTGTTTGTATCTCCCTCTTGCCTTCACCTCCCCCCATTTTCATGACAGTCTTCTCTGTCTGTGTCACCTGGCTTCAGTTAAAATACAGGAATAAACAGGAAAATTACTCATAGGTCAATTCTTTTTTTCCTTGTTTAATTTCTTTTCTTTTACTCTCTCTTTTATTTTTCTTTTAATTTAAACTTTTGCCTGTGTGTGTTTGCTATTGTTTCAAATTTATTATTTTCTTTCTCAGCAGACTGTTTGAGAGTCATCCCATCTGTTGCCTACCTGAACCAAGAATCAAATCCTAGAGTAGGACTGTGCTGAACCACTTGGTTGGAGATCTACTGGGATCCTAGTATTGGGAGAGACCTAACAAGTAAGTAAAAGTCAGTTTATTCAAGGTGCTGAGACCCTTAGAAGAGACAAGTCCTATTGCTATGTGCCCTTCTCTGGAAAAACAATGGCTGGAAAAAGGCATATGCATGCAAATATGCCTTGCAGGATTTTTTTAATCCTGAAACTAGTATCTTTCCACTGAGGGTATGTGCCTGTGAATTGTTTTCTTCTTAGTTTACACGCTCCCCAGTCCCTTTTTCGAAGCCCTTCAGGTAAGGCTATCAGAAAAGCCTTCCTTCCATCTAGCTTCCCATTTCTCATGCAAGCTCAGATGTCTTAAGAAAATACAGGGGGATTTCCTTTGGCTGCAATACTGGGAGAAAACAAACCAGAACAGTTCAAGATAGGATTGGCATAGCTGCCCTTGGGCTGGCATTTTTGTTTGTTTCTGATTTTTATTATTTTTTCGTTTTGTTTTGTTTTGCTCTCCTCTCCAGAATTTTCTTTTCTGCATGTCTTCTGCATTTAGTCTTGTCCACAATGGAGTGGTAGAGCAAGAGGGCTTGTCTGTAGCTAGAGTTTTATTGCTTTATTCTCCCGGGGTAGTAAATGGCAAACTTTCCATCACCACTTGCTTCTTCCCAATGCAGGTCATGTTATATCAGCTAGAATGTGCTTGTACAGATAATCAAAATGCTCTGTAAAGCCAATTGACATCTATCCTTTGATATCCTATTTATGCATTAAAACAGTCTGCGAATTAAGACTTTACCTAATTTTTTAAAAATAGTATTTAAAATAAAATACAAAGGTATTCTGGGTGAATGTTAAAAGCAGAAGAGATCTTTCAGTACCTCACTACTTTATATTTTGATAATAATGAAACTAGTACACCTTGCACTAGTGACACACATTGTTACAAAATTAGAACGAAAGAATGAATTAAAAATGAAGTTATTTTTATACGTCTACATATATTTGCTATGTAAGACCTGACAAAATTCTTCAAAAGAGTTGTCCAAAAAACAATGTTTTTTTCCTCCTATTCAGGTTAAATCTGGCAAGATTCTCAGGTTTTAGCACTTCAGTCCTAGAGCATGGCCTGCACTATGTAAAATACTGATTGAAAATACACCTTCCTAAGGGAAAAAAAAATAGTAAAATCATCAACTTTACCTACAATCCGTTAATTATGATATATTCAAGAAAGGTTCAAGTCTTTATTATGAAAGGACGTTCTTCCTTTTGGTCTTTCTGTCTGATTTCATATGAAAACACAGATTTGTATTGATTCTGTGTTAAGTGGAAGGTTCTGAGCCATCTCTCTGGATCTGGGCGCTGGTTTGCCATAGTTAAGGGTGGAGATCAGTGGTTTATTGTGGAGATGCTGGTTTTAAATTCAGAATTGAGATTGTGGTAGAAGTTTTTGGTTTACTGAGATCTCAATTCTCAGAAAACAAATCTCAATAAACTGCCACCTACAGTGGGAGTGATTTAAATATTTAATGATGTTGTGGTTGGAAAATGAACGAATGTAGAAGGCTCTTCAAGAGTTAACATAGAAATTATATCTTGCCCGCGTTACTTTTAGCTTGTTCTTCATTTCTCTAAGTCACTCTCACACTCTGGGATTGATCCTTTGTTCCTGCTCTTGTTCCCCAAAGTGCTCCCTGCCTGCCTATCAGTATGGACGTGTAATTTTCATCCGTGGAGAATTTTCTAACTTTTTAGTCATAACTGAAAATTTATGTGCTCAGTTCAGCTCGATGAATTGCATGACAAATCTCTAGCACTGCAGACGCCATCAGGGAGACAGAGAGACTGGCCGTCTGTCTTGCCAAGTATCTCAGCAATCCTAGGACAGAATAAGCTTCCTAATGCGACAATGAGCTGTGTTGACTTTTTGATATATTCGGGTACAAAGTTCCTGTTGGAGATTTTGTTTCCGAATGAGAATTTGCCGCAGCTGGGTATCAACACTGGGCTCTCATATGTGTCGGAGAGGGACAGGGAGGGGAAAACATTGGGGTATTTCGGTGCATTATCAGCCATGCTGGTGGGTGGTGTGAAGATGAAAAAGGAGCAAGTGTACTTCTCACAGCCTTTAAGGTGTGTTTCTGCGTAGGAAGGCTGTGTTCAGTAATGCAACGTAAATGTGCACTAATTTGCTCTTACTTATTTACCTGAATTGATATATAATATACACTATTTTGATATATTTATTCTTATTTCAAACCTTTCGCTACTTTTTATGCTGGATATGTAACATCACCATGCTTTTATTTTCTGTGTTGACAAGCAAACTCGAGTCCTTGTAAGCACATGAATTGTTTACTTTTCAGACAAAATAAGAACATACTCTTTGGAATTATATTATAGCATGATCTGGTCTGGCTGAGAGACTGGTGGGTACACCTTACACAAACAACAGGTGTTCAAATTTATTGCTGTGGCTAAAACAGCATTTGCTGAAATATAAATAAAAATCTCTGAGAATGCATGAAAGATTTGAAAATGTGTCCAAGTTTTTTATTTATATTGCATTTCGATAGCTCATTTCACATAGTAATGAAATTGTTTTGGCTTACTTGGTTTCAGAAGAAGTGGAGACAAGATAGAATAATTGGTTATCTTCAGTTATGTGTTAAGATGTTTTTTTTAATTTTTCCAGGAAAGATCCTTGAATTAAACATAAGCCAACTGATTTTCCATGGATTTCATTTGAGCCACAAGTTCTAGGCCAGTGAGGCCTTGATTTCTTTTTTGAAATACCAAATCAATTTATGTGAGGGACAGAGCACAAGTTTTAACTTTAGTCTCAGTTTTCTATCTTTAATATGTTTTCTGAATGGACTCTTGTAATCTGGAATATTAGTGATGCAGAGCTTGCTTACTTTGAGTATTACCAGTGGCCAGTCACTGGTTGTGCACGTAGTGAAATGAAGCTGGTGAAGAGGAGGACACACCCATGGAAGAGAGGAAAAAGCCTGGAATGGCAACTTATCATAGAATCATAGAAAAGCTTGGACTGGAAGGGACCTTAAAGATCTTCTAGTTCCAACCTCCCTGCCACTATGAAATTGGCCACCCATCTTTCTTGTAATACAATGATGCTGGCAAAAAGACTTTAAATCCTGCAATTCTTCATGTCTCTATGGAATTCTTGTCTCTAATTGTTGTTAGATTTTACTTTTCTGTGTTTATGTCCCATTTTTTCCCTACTTTGCCATTGATTTTGTGGCAAGGGGCTAATGTAAGACAGTGGTTTTGAAAAACACATCCTGTATTTCTTAAGCATCAGCTCAGTGAATCTTCCTTTGAGCTTCAAATCCATTCAATACTCAGGATTTCAGCCAGGGCCACAAGGCAAAACTCTTCTGTTGCACAAAAAAAAAAAGCAAACAAAAAGCCAAGGGACTTTAAATGATCAAGCAGAGATGATAGGACCTTGGCATATGAAAAACTATGATGTAGTAAATCAAAGCAGGCTGTCTTGAGTTTAGTAATATTTCTATGCTAATAAATTAGTGTCATAAGTGATTTGTCAATAAGATGTAGAATATGCTATGAAGGAAGTTAGACAATATTTTTCTTTCACACAGAAAAATGGGGTGAGGTCATAGCAAAATCCTCAACATGATTTTTTTTTCTAAGTAAGATGTGGGTGGTCTGATACACTGTACAATATTTGCATATTTAAATTCTTACATGCCTAAGAGATCCTTATATACCTTGAAAGAGTTTAATGAGAACTTCTATGGTAAGGAGCCGCAGTGCCGTAGCGGAGAACACTCCAGACCAGGGATGTGCAGAACTTCTGAAGCAGTGGCTCCAAAACTTGCTTGACCCAAGCTGCACATGTGGATAGGGCAAAGTTCATGGCCCATTCCACCTTTCTTCTCAGAGATGAACCTCATAGCTGCCACTTTCAACTGCATGCCCAAGAAGAAGGGACAGTAACATCTGAACATCACTATTCCCTCACACACAAACCAAGCCATGCCCTTCTATGTCACAAACTCTCCAACCTCTCGTGCTAACGCAGTGCAGACAAGAACTCTTGGTTCACAGCCATGCAAAAAACAGATGTGCTGTCTAAAGGGCACCTGTCCTGAGGAACCACGGCAGGAAGGAATTTGAGCTTGGGCCTATGACTGTGTTGGGACAGGTACTGTTGAATATCTTCATCAACGACATAGACAGTGGGATCAAGTGCACCCTCAGCAAATTGGCAGACAAAGCCAAGCTGTGTGGTGCTGTTGACATGCCTGAGGGAAGGGATGCCATCCAGAGGGACCTGGACAAAATCCAGAACTGGGCCCATTTGAACCTCATGAGATTCAACAAGACCAAGAGTAGGGTTTCTGGTATCAATCCAGGCTGGGGGATGAATAGATCCAGAGCAGCCCTGCTGAGAAGGACTTGGAGGTGCTGGTGGGTGAGAGGCTGGACATGACTCAGCCATGTGCACTGGGAGCCCAGAAACCCCCCGTGTCCTGGGCTGCATCCAAAGCAGTGTGGGCAGCAGGGGAGGGAGGGGATTCTTCCCTTCTGCTCTGCTCTGGTGAGACCCCGCCTGCAGTGCTGCCTCCAGCTCTGGGGTCCCCAGCACAGGAAGGACATGGACCTGTTGGAGCGAGTCCAGAGGAGGGTCCTGAAGATGGTCAGAGGGCTGGAGCACCTCTCCTGTGAAGACTGAGAGAGTTGGAGTTGCTCAGCCTGGATAAGAGAAGGGTCTGGGGAGACCTTATAGTGGCCTTTCAGTACTTGAAGGGGGCCTATAAGAAAGATGGAGACAAACTTCTAGCAGAGCCTGTTGCAACAGGACAAGATGCAATGGTTTTAAAATAAAAGAGGGTAGATCCAGATTAGATATAAGAAAGAAATTTTTTATATTGAGGATGGCAAAACACTGTCACAGATTGCCTGGAGATGTGCTGGATGTCCATCCCTGGAAACATGCAAGTTCATGTTGGATGGGGCTCTGAGCAACCTGGTAGAGTGGAAGATGTTCCTGCTCACTGCATGGGGGTTGGACTAGGTGACCTTTAAAAGTCCCTTGCAATCCAAACCATTCTACTTATCTTTTGATCTGATTTTTCACACCATGCCCTATTCCTTACAACCTCCCTCCACTGCTACTTCATGTGTACAAAATTGCAGGTGAAAGTCCAGTCTGACCATTTGGCACTGCTCTCTGCAGTGATACTAAGGAAAAGCCTTAGAAGGGTCAAAGAATTGTTAAAACTCTAAAGATCCATACTGGCGCAACTTTGATCTGTTTGTTTTAATTAATTCCTGCCTTTAACAGACTTGGAAGTTCCATGTTAGTACAAAATTTAGAAGTGTTATGTGGATGTCATGCCTCTGGAACTTTCTGGTTCAGCAGCAGAAGAAATGGAAGCCTTCTATTAATCTACCTAACAAGTATGATACCGAGAAAAGAGATTCCATCCTTCTCTACATCCACAGAGTTTGGAAGGGTAGAAGGCTGGTTTACTTGCTATATTTTTCAGGGCAAACTTACTAATCTGTGATAAGACCTTTTTTTTTTGTAGTAGTAAATTGGGTTTCCTGCAGTTTGGACCTGTTAGCCAGAGCACATCAGCCAGTGGCTCAGGAGCAGGTCTCTGAGGCAGAACTCCAGCACATCCTTTCGCACCTCGTAATATACATATTCAGAACCACCCTGAATTGTGCCCTGTGATTGCAGTTTCTTTTTGTGGGTTTCTGATTTCAGGTCATGATTCCTGGGCAGATGCTTATTCCTATCTCTGGCTGCTGACCCTTGGTTTGACTTTCTGGTTCCTGAATTTTGGCCATGAACATTCGGCTCCTTTCCCAGCTCTGGACACGGGCCCTAACCTTTGGGCTGAATAGCCTGGGCTCCAGTCTGTAATCCTAGATGGCCACCAGGTCATCTGTAGTAGACTGTACTCTAATTTATTCAATAACAAATGAACTCTAAGAGATAAGTTTGGGTGTTGGTTTTGGTTTTTTTTTTTAATTATGACATGTGCAGCTATTTATTTGCAAACTGGTCTTTTATCTGTATTTTACTAGATTGCTAAATGTGAACTTCTACTTTCCATTAGTTATGAGATTGTTCTAATGGCCATCTTTTCTTTGGGGAGAATATCATCATATCTCAGCCAGTGGAGCAGGTGAGCAGAACTGTTAGCATTTACAAAAATTTCAAATTGGTGGCTATAAGTTGAATAAATTACATCAGAAAAGGCAATAGTGTCAGAACTTCTATTTCATTTCTGTATCAAATGTTATAAATATTACTGATATACTGTATGCATGATCTACTTTTTCTTATGGGAGTTCATAATGTCATTCCAACACACATGACATAAGAGTGTAAACAGACACTCAAACATGGTCAGACCTGTAAGAGTGTCATGACTGAAACTTGATGAAAATATGAGTTATGAAGTTCACAAAGTATGAAGATAAATTTCCAGAAAGAGGAAGAACTGAAACTTATAATGTGTGTTAAATGTTCAGGTGGAAGAAGGGTCAGATTGCTTTGGCAGGAGAATAAATGGAGAAGGAGTACAAAGCTGAGTTGTAAAATGAACTTAATCAGTTACAAGTAATATAGAATAGGCAATAATGTGAAGCTGAGTGAAAAGAAAACTGCTTTTAGATATCCTATATATGTTACTTTGCTCATACACAAAGATGGTATTGCATAGACATTTATATACACATGCTCGACAGAAAATAAAAGTTACAAAATCTGGGTGAATTTTATTTCATGCTCAACAGAAAATAAAAGTCACAAAATCTGGGTGAATTTTATTTCATTTTGCCCACCAGAAGTTCAGGAATAAAAAGTTCCATGTTGATGCAATGTTTTTGCTTTGTAATATTTTGATGGTGCTAGGTACACAAAATCACAGTGATAAATGATCCATCTGTCCTGTTCCTGTGTCAAAATATGTGACAGTTGCCAATCTAGGAAAAGCGTGCCTGTTACTTTGCTGTAGCTTAAAGGCAAGTTACATTATAGTCTGTTGTTCATGGCTGTTTCATAGAAATGTGAAGCTTGCTTAATTTTAGAGCTTAAATCAAGGCACATCAATATGGAAACATTTAGATTAACTTTTTTATTAAATTACACAAACTTCCTTGCTAAACCCATCTCCTTATGACAAGAGGAACTGTCCTTTACTAGAGTAGTTTTCCTCTAAATACTTTTTTTTTCCTCTGAAGCAGGCTAGCTCAGATGAGGGATAACAAGTTGTTTGTGGAATTTAGCTAAGATGAGACTCTCCTTTGCTTTGTGTAAGTGAAGAGGATGGTGTAAGCAGCAAGTTTAGTGTATTGCTTTGGTGTGTTTCTTCCAAATTGGTCACGTACCTTAATAAGATTTTCCATACTTTTGTTAAACTATCAGTTCAGAGAAGGAAATCTGGTGAAATAAAACAAGTGCCTTCTTCAATTTGTTGTCCAGTTAAAATTTGTCAGTATAAAAAGCTACAGCAGAACAGCAGGGCATAGCTTTTGCCTAAACTGAGAATTTTTACTTAGTGTAAAGCTCTTCAATGGAACTGCCCATAATTTCATGTGACATTCACTGTGCGTAATGACATCTTTTTTTCCGCCCTCCAAATGAATTAAAAATGGAAAGTACTTCCAGTACCTCTTGGTAGGTACCACGTAGTCAGATCCCTTGGTACCACGGAAGTCCTTTCTTCATTACAGGCAGGTAGTTTCCATTATTCATGCTGGGTACCATTTCATTTAAAGTCCCACCATTACTTAAAAAGCAAGATATTAATGAGAGATGTTACTGGAGTGCTGTCTTTTAATTTGATATTGTTCAACCCAGCTGTTTTAAAATTTCTAAGAATAAAGCTTCCATCACCTTATATTAGAGAAGATTTTTATAGGCAGGAACACCTAATTCTTGTCTAGTTTCCCTTGATAGCCAATTGCCTTTCCTAAATCTTCACCATTTACTTCTTGGTTAATCCTTTTGCTTTGCTTTAAATAATTTCTCTGATTCCTTGATATCCATACATTGCAGTTAGTTATATATAGATATTTTTCATACCACCCCCATCCACTTAGCTGGTGAGTAGCCAAGTAATACATACTTAGCACTTTTAATTTTACCTCATAAATCAATCATCGTAGCTGCAAAATCAGTTACATTTTTTCTTAAACCATCATTCAATACAAAGAGTCCATTATGCATGTCTGTGAATAATATATTAATTGTGTGGTTTAAAATCATAAACAACGTTACACAATTAACTACATAAAATTGCTCACTTTGAAAACTGTATAACTACACTTTCTATAATAGTAGCTAAAAGGCGACAGCATTAAGCCGGGCATTGTCACTCTGAATTGCCACTGGTAAAGCAGAGGCCTCTTAAATGTGCAATTATGATAGAGAGAAAGCGTATTCCTTTTCAGATTTATTGCTTTAAGTACTTTTCCAAAGGTTTTCACCTTGTTTTGTATTGCTGTGCACTAATGGTATGAGACAAGATTACTTCGGTGAATGGCTTTATTAATATAAAGAAATATTACTAAAGTTTTTTTTTTTAAACTGGATTTAAATATCTTTTACGCTGTGCTGTATTCTCTATCAGGTTGTTAAAAAAAAAGATAAAAATTACTTCTTTACTGATTTGGCTCTTTTGTTCTTGGCAAATATTTCTTTTCCTCTTGGGATGGAGATAGAGATGGAATGAATAGCAGGATCTACAGGAAAAGAGAACACAATCCAAAACCAGAAGTAAGCATATTTATATGTTGATAATTATTTGTTTCAAGTTTGAAGACCAAACTGGGATCCAGATTCCACAGGCTAGACAGAGCGCTAATGTCTCCAGTGAAGGTATTCCTGCTGCATTATGGCATGGTTAGATAAGGCAGAGAAAGAGTTGAAAAAGGCATTACCATTCTTTCAGATCTGGTAAACTGAGGTGGGAACAGAGAAGAAGCAATCTGTCCAGTATGACAGAATTCGGCAGGAGAATCAAGAGTGTAAGCTCCTGTCTCCCTGTTGGACTGATCTACAAGACTGTATTTATTCTATAATCTGTTTTTATGCTCTTATCTATTTAATCTTCTCCTCATACCAATTTTTATAAGTATGTCTCCACAGAGAACTCCAGCGTAAGAAATGTTTCTGCAGATGAACCCTGAGGTTTTATAGTAACACTGTATAATCATTACACGGGAGGTACTCGGCGCTAAAATGGTGCAAATTATCATTAGGAGTGAATCATTTCAGCCCAGGGAAGGAAGGTTTGCTGTCTGCCTACTGCCTCCTTGCCATCGCTCGCCCTCCCCAGCAGCCGCTCCCGTGGCATTACATAATGTCACATATGTTCGGCCAGATTGCCCGGTCCTGCTGGGGGCAGGGGAGGCACCGCGAACGGCACCCCCTCACCCTCCTTCTGCCGTCATTGGGGAGGAAAATCCCGCTTGGGATTTGCCTATAGGGCTTTTGGGGCATGGGAGACTTTGCCTCCTCGCGCGTACTCCTGCAAAGCGCAGGGAGGGAGGAGATGCTGAGAGCCGCCACCCGCCTCCCTTCCCACGGCTGGGCTCTCACAGCCCCCCGGAGCAAGGTGGTGCTGAGGGGCCGTGCTCCCCTTTTTCCCAGAGCTGCTGGTAAGGAAAGGCTGCACACCAGCTCCTTTCTTAGCTTGTCTCATGCCTCTCCCATCCATTTTTCCCTCTTATTCCTCTCCGACTAACAAGGACAAGTTAGCACTGCAATCCTGTCACCTGGATACTCACAGACAAGGGCTGTGTGGTCAAAATCAGTGTCTTACAGCCATTCTTAACCTTTGCTGCATAAAAAGTATGGGCCACTCACAAGTTGGACTTCATAATTCATGCAGGTCCCTTCCAACTCAGAAGATTCTGTGAAATAGCTGTGAAAAAATAAACTGGGGGAAGTTATCCCATGGCTTGTAACTGTGGTATGGAAATACACTCAAATGAAAGCCCAGGCATGGAATTAATGCATTTGGCACCCTACTATGCAAAGTAAAACACAGCCACTAGCTCTTTAGTGTGGTGTACTAGTTATTTCACAGGTTATTTGTTTAAACTGAAAATCCCAACACTGCTTAATTGCACTGTATGTGAAACTCCAGATCTGCTACAGTTCCAGATTTATAAAACAGCATTATAGAGAATATAGGCCTATTAATTTTACAGTCTAATTTCTGATTAGATTTTACAGCACCTCTGATGAACTGCATAGATTTCACCCATTAAAAATGATGACAATTCAGTTCTGTCATTTTAAGTAGAATTAAAGCCAGTATTGCCAAGTATGATAATATCTTATGAAAAAAGTGAACCAACATTTATATATATATATTAAAAAAAATAAAATAACCCAGCACCATATTATTTTTCTATAGGAAGATTGCACTTGCCGAGACAGTGGGACTGTTACCTGTTTGTGCAGTCAAGAGCCTTTGGGTCTGACAGCTGACATCAAAAGAAATTCTCCATTCAGGCTGAGCAGGTTAAGTAATGTTTCCTAGCACAGCTGTGTAACGTGTCTGTTGGTGATTAAAAGAGTCTGCTAGAGCTTATTAAGGAAAAATGTGAACTGTTTTCTATCAGAAAATAGTTTTATTTAAAAATAAAATCTCTGCAATGTCTATGCTTTACTTTAGAAGAAACTAAGAAAAGGGTGTTTGGTTTTTGGGTTTTTTTTAAGAGGAAAAAGAAATCCAACACTGAAACAGTCTGTTCTTGACTTTTTTTAGATGCAAACTTAAATAAACACCCCCAACCCCAAAAATGGAAATGTTGTAATATGAAAATAAAATTTCCATTTTCTTTATTGTCAATTTTAAATTTGGGGAAGGGGCCTATTCTGATTTGAAACAAAGCCAGATTCTAAAACCAGACGTAAAATGACATTCTCACTTTGTGAGATGACTTTCTGTTTGCATTTGAAGATGCAAGGTACGTTTTTTAGCTCTGATTTGCTACACTAATCCTGTTGACTTCGCTTGAAAAGAATGGCACGTTTCCCACTAACTTTATTAGTGGCAGGATTGGGCCTTGATGCAATACCTCATGTCACAGCAGCAAAACTTGTTGCCAATAGTCTGTCTCAAGGGAGGAGATTTCCAGTAACTGCTCCCTGAGAACTATTCTAAAAATGCAGCTTTTTTCTGTCCAGCCATCGGGATAATGATATACTCCATCCCTGAAGAGAGGGGCATTGACTGAGCTGCATTGATGGCACCAGAGGTCCCTGCTGGCTTGTTCACTAAACAGAACTGGCAACTGACTCTGAAGATAAAAGTTCTTGACGTTTTTCCAAGCTGGTGGAATGGAGCTGAGTGACACTTAGAAATAAATAGAGGAGGGAATAGTATGATCTTGAATGACAGAGGAGCTTTCATGAAGTACTTTCATGGGGAAGATTTGGGATGTACTGTTCCAGGCTTGAGTCTAGGGGATTTGTTGACAGTTGGATAATGTGCATGTTTGGTACCACTAGTATGAAATGTAGAGGAAAACAGAGGGAAAAGTTCCAAATGAATCCTTTATTCCCACTTAAATGGTTAAAACCAAAATACAATGATATATCTTTTCCTTCCCAATAATTGACTCTACAAATTGTCAATCTCTTTGGAAATCTATTAGAAGAACATTCTCGCTCCTGACAAGGAAATGTACTTCATGCAAAACATTTGTCATTTGTCTGTTATCATAATTCATGATCTTATCATTCATTC